TTAAAAATAGTTATGTTTTACAACTGTTTACATTATCAGTAGTAGGATATGTACAAAATTTTCAAATAAACATTTTGGAGTATATGCTCAATTTTTTCTCACAGAAGTATAAGAACAACAAGCTTATTTCACCATTGCTATGAGAGTGAACAGCAAGCCCCTCTACCTGGCATACTTAACTCAAATGTTCTATTTGAGTGAGTTACCGTATATTCCACACATAGGTTACTATCTGGGTATTGGTGCTGCTTATTTGCGTTTTTGGATAATTCCTTCCAATGAGTTTTTAGAATTCTCTAAACTAATTTCTTTGGGTACTGAGAATTTCCTAAGAACTTATCCATTGTATTTTGTAAATATTCTTTGGTAGTTTTTAAAAGTAATGATATTGGATCTAATGATTATTGAAGTTCTTTAATTGTCTAAATTCTAAAAACTAGAGTCATTTGCTGTTCAAAATGCAAATAGTAAGTCCCAAGCGGCTAAATACCTACTCTGTGTGTGTGTGTGTGTATTCATTGTCCATTTAATTCCTTTGTCCAACAGTGGGGCAAAGGTGTAATGGCCACCAAAACGAGAAGATACTTTCAGACTAAAAGATTCAATAGACTGTAACAGAATTTATTACAAGTGTAATTTACTTATGGGAATATTAGGCCAGAGCAGACAGAAGGCCCAGCAGTTTTGTGCGTTATTCTCCACCACAGACCCCTGTTACAGTACTTTTTTGATAGTCTGACTTTAGTACTAACAGTTGACCAGACAAAGGGACAAAATGCAGTAATGGCAGGGGTCATACCTCCTGGTGGTCTTGTGATAGATGATTGCTTATAATCTATACTATTACCAGTTTGATATTTATCTTGGTTTTCATGCCATTATGGCTGTTGCTAACAAAAATGGTTTATGGCTACATTTTAAGGAACACAGATAATCATCAACTAGAGGCTTTGTATGCTTCCTAAGCACAATGAAGTTGGTCAGAGGTCACAGCATGAAACTTAAAAATGAAATCCAGGACACAGAGATGGAGTTTGTTTTGTTCACATCTACCTCTGTTGCACTCATTCACTAAGGAGTGTTTTTATTTATTCGTTTGTTTGTTTATTCATGCATATATGTGCTCTTTGTGTGTATCTATGTATATACCTACACATATGCATATATACATATACATATATATTTGACATAACTGACAGGTTTCTTCTAATGAGACTATTACAGTTTAAACTTTTTGTAATATCTGTATTGTGTGTATGAGCTGAAGAGAAGACAAAATGTGAAATTCTAATGGAAGTCAGTAAGGAGAGATTTCCTTTACAAATTTTTCAGATCTCTTCTAATGTTTTAATTGATACTTGTTTCAAATAATGTTGGAGGTTTTGGTTAAAGCAGTTTCCTTTGTGCTACGTCTGAGCCTCTGCTAATATCTGATGCTAGACAGACTTCCTAAAGAGCAGATTTCTTTTTTTCTTCATTTTTGTATATCAGTACCTGTCATGAATCATTTAAATAAAGCAAAATAAAGATTCTATTGATTCTTTTATTCTGCTTTCAGAAAGTTCATGTTATTTTTTAAAAATATATATATGTGTGTGTGTGTGTGTGTGTGTATATATATATGTATATGAACACTTGCACAGTTAAACAGGATTGGCAGTGTCTAAGGAAGTTTGTGACAAATGGTAAAATTCATGGCAGTTTTAAATGTTTAAAGATACAAGATTGTATGTAGGGGAGAGAAAAGGGGGAAAGCGACAGGAATAGAGCAAATGGGGTAGAACTTGAGCTGGGTTAAGAAGAAAAAATGAGTACAGGTCATTTCAGATATTGAATATCAATCAGATGTTCAGGGTATAAAAAAAATCACCCTACACACCCTGGCTGCAGCACTTTATTTTGAGAGGAAATCCACAATCAGTACAACTTGGGCAGACAAGAATGTTTAGAGATGACAGTCTTGTTGGAACCAAATGATTATATATGTGATAAAAGAATATAAGGTTGAGATTAACTTGTAGAAGACCTTATATGTCATATAAGGAATTATATGTTATAGCTGAGAGGAAATGTCTGGGATTTTTTTAATGGAAATGTAAATTAATTGGACTGGCATAGATATGTTGGGAGATGAGCATTGGCAGGGAAGCCCTTGAAGATAAGAATTTCTCCAAATGTCTCATTTACATACCTATTTCTCCTATTAGATTATAGTACAGTTTCTATAAGTAGAAACTTTTATTCAGTTCTGTAAACCGAGGTTCTAAAACAATGTCTGTTACATAGTAGGTATTTAATAAATCTTGATTGCATGAAGACCATGCAAGAGAGGCTAGTTTAATAATTCACTTAGCTCCATGGTAGAACCTGACAACAAATGAGGGTGGGGGAGGCTTTAGTGACAATGGAGCCAAAACTGTATGTGTTCCCAGTTTTCCTTCAAAAGTATTAGCTGTAACGGAGCTGCTCAGAAGTAAGACGTTTGTTTCACCTCAGTAGGATGACTGGGGCAAATTAGTAGTACGTATGCATATTTATTTTAAAGTTTTTAATAATATTAAATCTCATCTGGGTATTATTTTTTAGTTACTTTTAAAGGTAATAAATATTAAAATCAAACAAGACTAAAGCCTAAACCAAGATAATCTTTCTTGTTTTTTCTGAAGGTTTAGTGACAAATCACAGTATTGATTTCAGCGTGAATGTAATCTCTATCTTTTTTCATAGTTTCTCTCCTTTAAAAAAACCTTTTTACGTGTGCTGCTTTGTAGTTAGCAATCTGCTTTCACGTTTTACTTAATCCTTAAAAGAACCCTATGTGAGGTCAGTAGGAACTTTTGGCCCAAATAATGGGGGAAAGGGTTTAGAATGATTTAGCCCAGAATCCCATAGCTAATACATGATAAAATTTGTATTTGGAGTTAAATGTAGAAAGACAGAATAGTAGAATATTTCTAAGAGCAGCAGGCTAATCTCTGTATGGCCTCAGGTTCCTTAACCTGTAAAATGGGTGTTACTTTTAGTTAGTTCCTATAGTTCTGCACTGTCTGACAAGGTAGCCACTTGCCACATGTGGCTAGTTAGCACTCTTTTTCATACTATCTTTATATTAATAGTCTTTTTTTATTGATTACATTTCAAAATGATAGTATTTTGGATGTGTTCAAATAAATACATTATTAATGTTACCTATTTTTTTTTAATTTTTAGCATGTGTCTTCTAAAATTTTTGAATTACATATGTGGCCTGCAATATATTTCTGTTTGACAGGGCTGCTCCAGATCAGGGTTGGCAAACTCTGGCCCCCCAAATGCAGCCAGATGCTTATTTTTGTAAATAAAATTTTATTGGAACACAGTCACACCCTTTCAATTATATATTGTATATGGCTACTATCATGCTACAGTGGCAGAGTTGTGTGATTGCTACATGTAGAACCATATGGCCTGCAAAGCCTAAAATATTTACTATTTGGTCCTTTGTAGAAAAAGTTTGCTGACCCACGCTCTTGACTGTATTGACAGATACTCAATGTGTTATCCTTACTTAAGAGTGTATATCAGAGACAGACAGACAGATTCATTGTGGGTGCCAGTGGGAAAAAGGTAGTGGGGGAGGGACTGCTACTGGGTATTGCATTTCTTTTTTGGGTAGATGGAAACGTTCTGGAATTAGATAATGGTGACAGTGTGCAACTTCAGATATACTAAAAAACCACTAAATTATGCACTTAAAAAAGGTAAGTATCATATGTGGATTATATCTTATTTTTTAAAAAGTAAATATGAGCCTGGTTTGGTAGATGTAATAAAGCGCAATACGTTAAACATGATACATGTTCATGATAATAAGAACATGCACTGAAATAAACAAATGCACATCAACTATAGGGAATGTAAAAAAAGGTTTAATAGTTTTTTTAATATACTTCCATCATCAAAGACAATTTTAAATTGTGTTAAAGAGGTCATGCCAGCAAAAACAACAAAAATAAAAGAGGTCATGCCACTTGAGAATATTTGCAAGTAGTTTTTCGTTAGGAAAAACAGTTAGCTGTCATTTATTGCTTACTTAAACTCATTTACTGCTTACCCATAAAAAACATTTATAAAGATAGAATCACTGTTTAGTTGTAAACTTAATTTTAAGACAGTGCACAGCAGTACTGCATAGTCAATCTCAATAAATAAATTACTGAATGCAAAGTATAAATAAAATCACTATTTCATTAATATTTTCTGGAAGCATTTATCAAAACATACAAATCATGGTTTTATGACGTTTTCAGTGAACTTTTGAAAGGAGAAAATACTATTGGAAGGGAGTTAGAAGTCCATTCCAAAATGTTCATATCTTGTGTGTGTGTGTTTTTTTCTTAAATGAAGTATTAAACATCTACTATATATAAATCCTAGATGTTTCATGTTGCTTTGAAACTGACAAAATATCTACTTTGTACAATTGACATTAATTTATTATATGTAGGGTATGCCAATAGTCAGCTTTATGAAATCCAAAACCAATAATCAGTACATCATTTATCTTCTGAACACTGAGAAAAGGATTTTAATTTTATTGTTCTAAAAACACCATATTTTAATACTTTATGATTTAAGTTAGGATAGCATGATGTATAAGGGCACAGACTTTGGAGCCAGAGAGACCTATTTCCTGATTCGATTCTACCATTTACTATCCTAATGTGACCCAGAACAGCCTATCTAATATGTAACATCTCTAAATCTTCATTTTCTCATCTGTAAAAAGAAATAATACCTCTCCATTGAGTTTTTAAACAATTAATAAATGAGTATAAAATAGCCATGTAGTAACCACTCAATAAATGGTAACCTATTATTGCCATTTAATATGTTAAGTTTTTTAATCAAACATTAAATATTTTGGTTGTCAGCATTATGCATTTCATTATGTATTTTACTGACTCCTATCTTTTTAAAAACATAATGAAATATTAAGTAACATTTTATTTTACTTTCAGTCAAAGAAAAATAAGAAGAAATCAAAGTCAGATGCTAAAGCAGTGCAAAACAGTTCACGCCATGATGGAAAGGAAGTTGATGAAGGTATTTGAGCAAGTGAAAGGACTATAGAAAAAAGTTTAATCCTTTTTACCAAAGTGCATTATAACAAAGCTGCATTTGTTTTGCTTAATCTTGTATCTAGTTCTTTTAATAACTGTAGATTTTAATGTACAGATCTGTGACATTGTTAGGAAACACTTTTTAATCTAAATCATTTAAGGATCTAATAATACTTTTCCTAAAAGGAATATCTTGAAATTTAAGGTCTAGCTCAATATCTTGAGCAATTGAAAAGCCATTTGTTTTGTCTTTGTTTCCTAGAGTATGTTTTGGGTTTTTCCCCTTTGTTCTTAAATATGCTATCCCTAAAGGGCTGTATGCAAAATTTTTTAGTGAGCCATTTATTGTCATCACCTAATAAACTCAGTTATTAGTAGTTATATATAACACTCCTATCAGTTCTGTCAAGCAAGATAAAGATACAAGATGACTTATATATTATTTTTCTTAAACCATAGATGACAAATTTGATAAACATTATGAGAATAAATAATGGCAGTTAGCTGCCTAACACAACATAATGAGATTAGAATAAATCTTAGGATAAATTAATAGAATCCGTACTCTTGCTTTTTAGTTTAATATCTAAATTTATCATGATATTTTGTGTGCCCTACCCCATTTCCTCCCCTCCCCCTGAAACTACACCTTTTTTGTTTTCCCCTTACTGAATAACATTTTTTTTTCTGGGGCTGTGTCAGGAGCCTGGGAAACTAAAATTAGTCACAGAGAGAAACGACAGCAACGTAAACGTGATAAGGTGCAGACTGATTCTGGTTCATTGGATTCAACTATCCCTGGGATAGAAAATACCATCACAGTTACCACCGAGCAACTTACAACTGCATCATTTCCTGTTGGTTCCAAGAAGAATAAAGGTATATTAGTGGAACATAAGAGTGATTCATCAACTCCAACTCCTTTTAATCAGATATACAAAATATCATTATGTCAAAATCTGACTATTTTGAACTGCCTACATAATTGTGCTGATATACCTACCCCGCTTCGTGAGAGCAGTGTGGACCATGTATTGGTTTACCTGATACCGGCAGTGTTACTTGTCACATACTGCCTAATGAATGGCCTATTAAATTAAACTTGCCTTTCTGCCTTGAATCTCATGAGAAAATGATGTTGCCTCTTTTTTTCTTGTGTATTTTCCTTTGCCCCAACTCTCTTACATCTTCATTTCTTATAGTGGACAACATATTAAGTGGAATTATTTGTCATCATTTTGCATGTTGGGTGCTTTCACTCCAAGATGAAACAAGCATGCTCTCGGTATTGCAGGGCTTCTTATTGCCCTAACTTTTTGAGAATGCCATAGGTGTTTGATAAAGCTAGACTGGAACTTCAAAGATTATTGAACTAACGTTCTTCCCAAGCTATCTCCAGGGCTCAAACTACCTAATACTGATGGCTTCTTGATAGCTCTTCTTCACATTGCCGTCATTTTTACTCTGGGGACATCAATCTGCAGAGTGATATTATTCAGTTTGCTTCAAGGCATTGACTTATCTTCATCTTTTTATAAATTGCCTCCCCACCACTTTCTTAGCCTTGTTATCTTTTTCTTTTTTCTTGATGTCTTAGTGGAATTTATTGCTTTGGTACAGCAATGACTTCTACTTAACCATTTTCACTGTCACATATTAGCCATACTTTAGTGTTTCTGTTGGTAACCCTTTTTCATTGTTTTGTGCATGCCTTCCTTGCTAGCACAATCCTGAGTCATGCTTGTTTTCTGATACATTGTGATCATTATGCTTCTTAGTATCAGAGAAATAGTATCTTTGTTATAACATGTATTCTCACCTCTTTGACATATTTCCTAAGTCCTGGTCCCAAATACTGGCAAAGTTCCTAAGCTGATGTGTTTGCTTCCAGGATTGTTGAAAAGGCAGCTGGTATTGTTGAGATGGCAAAGTTGAATCCAATTACAGAGCCCAGTTCTCCAGTTCCTACTTAAAAGAATCTCGATAACCATTATAGAAAGGCTGACTCTATATTTACTTGGACAATTTTCAGATCCTTTATTGGCATTTTAATTGACTAAGAATCTGGTAACTAAAGAGCTCAATTCCTTAAGGAAATGTGAAATATGTTGTGAGTAAAAATGGCTCTTTTCCAGTGAAAGAATTTTTAGTACTTGAAGGAGCAATTTATTATAAATAGTAAGTAAAATTAATTTGTATGTTACTCCTAATTTAATGTGCATAGTGGCCTATTTAGTATTAAATAAATTTTATTTCTATTTTAACCAGGTGATTCTCATCTAAATATTCAAGTTAGCAACTTTAAGTCTGGAAAAGGAGATTCTTCACTTCAGGGTGAGAGAAATTAAATGTAACTTAAATTGAAGGCCCATCAAAATAGAAACTTACATGTCTCTTTCCTCACATGAATGACACAGAAGGGGAAAAAAGCTTAAAATGATTTTTAATTACTAAAGTAACAATCACAGCCCAGAGATTTTGGAAAATAGATAAAAAGAAAAATCACTCCCACTTCTAACAGTCTTTGGTATGTTCTAGTTGTTTCCCCTTCTCTTTTATGTGTAACATGCATAAAAACATTCCTTTAGTAAATAGGTTATTACTATTTATATTAAATATGCAATTTTGATTCTTGCTTGTATCTTTTAAGCCATTGGAGAAAAGAAGGATTGGGGGCAGGGCGGGGGGAGGACTTGTGTTTAATATAAGCATATACAGGAGAAAAAAGCCTTAATATCTATAATCTTTTAAATTGCTTCCTTAACAGTATCAAATATTTCGCAATAAATGGACTATAATCTAAAGTTACACAGTGCTTCACAAATGTAAAATATACTTTATTTACTTGTTGATGATAAAGATTGAATTAAGTAGAGTGATATACCTTACCTAAAAACTATAGTGTGGTAGCAAAACATAAATTCAGAAATGAAAAGGCACTTTCTCATTTTAAGCTTGTTCTTAATACTGTCAGCTTCCTTTGTTCTCGTTGTTCTCAATCCTGGCTGCACATTACAATTGAGGAAGCTTAGAAAAACAACAGACCATATATATATATAAAGAAACATGTGCTTACACACACACACACACCCCCTAGTATATTTGTGTATACACATACATACTGGTGCCTGGGCTTTCTCCTTAGAGTTTCTGGTTTTAATTTGTTGGGCTGAGGCTCCAGTATCTACTTTTAAGAATTTTTTTAGTTGATTTTAATGTGTAGCCAGGTTTTAGAATTACTGCCTTATATATAATAAATATGTAAATACCTAAGGAAAGAACATGTAACTAAGGAGAAGCCTTTATATTCTTAGTGGGTAAGTATTCTAGAATGTGTTGTTTTCCTGTTTGTTCTGTTGTACTTCCTTTGAGCAAGTCATTCTGCTGTTGAAAACATTTGTATATAAAGTTCAAATCTACTCTTAACATTTAAATTAAAAGTCATCCATGGTGGTCGTGTCGCTTTTTAAATTCTTCATTTTCATCTTTAAAGCTCAAGCTATTTAGAGAACAGGGTGAAATGAGTAAAAAATATAAACTGAGCTATCATAGAAATTTGAAAGTATCCCAGTTTTAACAAGGAGTCATGTATCAGTTTTTAATATTTGTTTTCTCTTCTTTAAGTTTCTTCAGGATTGAATGAAAACCTCACTGTAAATGGAGGAGGCTGGAATGAAAAGTCTGTAAAACTGTCCTCACAGATCAGTGCAGGTGAGGAGAAGTGGAACTCTGTTTCACCTGCTTCTGCAGGCAAGAGGAAAACTGAATCATCTGCTTGGGGACAAGACACTGGAGACACTAATGCAAATGGAAAAGACTGGGGAAGGAGTTGGAGTGACCATTCAATATTTTCTGGCATTGGTAAGAATGGTTAGAAATTTTTAAGTTCATTTAAAATTTCATATCTGGTATATTTTTAATTTTCCAGGAATGAAGGAAAAGATCCATGAGCAGAAAAATTAGTAATGCCATACAGAAATAATAGTAATAATTAACTCATCTCATATCCTTTATATGGAGCAAAGAGGAGACTAAATAAGTAAATAATAGCACTATATGCTCTTAGTGCTTTCACATACTTTATCAAATTTGATTATCAGTGTAGCCAACTAATATTATTATATTTTTAGTGATGTAACAAGTATGTGTGACAGTCTTTAATTAATCTCAACAGTTTATTGAGTTTAAATAAAAACAGTACATGGATGTACAGTTTATAACATACATCCATGTTTTATGGTTTGTAAAATTCCTATTTGTAATTAATTTTCCCCCTGGATCTTAAAGATCAATAGTTGAGAAGCTTTTTTTCTGTTGAGAGTCATCAAATTAAAAGCAACTTAATTTCAGGGGTGGTGTGTGTGTGTGTATGTGTGTGTGTATGTAATGAAAACCATGTTTAATATGGAAAACTATAAAAAGAAAAGGAAAACCCACTGTTATTATACCACCCAATGCCAACCACTGTTTTTTGTATTTCTTTATGGTCTTTTTCTGTGTACAAATTTTATTTTATTTTTTGACATAATCCAAGTCAGGCATTTTTATGTTCCCACCTCCCACTTAATATTGTAACATAAACATTTTCCTTTTTGTATTTTTATTTAATGGCCCTGTAATATGCTTATACATATTACAGGGCCATTAAATAAAAATACAAAACTTAACTATAATGTTATTGGAGAAATTATTTTCTTTTAGCCATTGTAAATAACTTTGCATTGAATATATTTTTGGGGGGGTTACTTCTTTAGAATCAGTTCTTGGGAGTGATATTGCATTAAAGGGAACATGAATGTTTACACTGCTATATGACATATTGTCAAAGTATTTTCTAAGAGAGTTGTTCTAATTTATATGTCAATGCCAGTATGAGTGCCATTTGTCATATGCTGACCAAGGTTGGGTATTCTTATTTTTAAAATCTTTTCTAATTTAATAAGCAAAAAATACACGAATTGTTTTGGTTAACTTCTTAAAATCACTAATGAGGCTGAATAATTTTCAACTTTCTTGGTCATTTCTGTTTCTTATTGAATCGTCTGTTCATGTTCTTTGCCCATTCGTCTAATGTCCTCTAACTTTTTTTAAGTTGAATTCCTATGCATTAAACATAAAATTTTTTCTGTTGTGCTTGCTGAAGATATTTTTTGTTAATATATTTCTTTTAATTTGGGGGAGCAATAGATACTAAAGAGTTTTTAGTGTTTAAGTAGGAAAAAACTGTTTCTTCCTATGCTATTTGCTTTCCCTGTCACTTTAAGCTTAGAAAGACTCATGTTGACTAATGTCCCCAAGAAGCAACCTTTATATCATTTACTAATATTGCTCTTAAGCTTGTTCTCCCATCATCCCCTGCAATGTCCAAAAATTGTGTAGAAATGTCAAAATTTGTTGGGAAGGAGAGACAATCCCAAAATTCCTGGCCTCATTTTCAGCAGTGAAGAAAGCATGAATTTCTATGCTGTAAAGCATTCTTTCACATTTAATAAACGAAATGGTCAATTTTTGTTATTATGGATGTATGCGTTCCTTAAAATGCTCATATATAAGTAAGAAATCTCATGAAAATGTTGAGAAGATAGCATGGTTTGGTGGAATGAGCATGCACTAGTTCAGGTCTATTTGATATGAATCTATTCTTCAACATACTAGCTTTTATGGAAATTAGGCTAGTTATTTAACCTGTATGAACTTCATATTTAAGTAGTTGTGAGGATTGTCTGTAATGAATTTCAGTTACCAAATTTAGTGCCTGGCCTAAAGTTGTTGCTTAATTGTGGTAGATAATAAGGTAGCTTAATTACGATAGCTATAGTAGAAAGAGCATAGACTTTGGAAATTGGCCTAAATTCCAGTCTTGGCTCAGCTGTTTTCTAGCTGTCAGCAAGTTACTGAACTACACCGAAACTTTGCCTAGCAGTGTTACCCTAAGGATTAAAAATGGTTGGTGTAAAGAGCCCAGTACATAGTAGACGTTCACTAAATAGTAGCTTTTGCTATATTAAGTGGTTCTAATTTCTAAGGTTATCTTAATATTGTTATCTTAGTTTTAAATCTGTACATATCGTTCAAGTGTCATTGCAATTGAAGGTTCCAAGTGACGTTCTTTATTTTAACAGCTGCTTGGTCTAGTGTGGATAGGGGAATGAATACCTCTGAACAGAATTCTGCTTCTTTTGCATCTCTCACACTTAACTCTGCTGTTTCTGGTATGTGAAAACAGTCTTTCATTTAGTTAACAAAAAATATTTCTGTTTAAATTAATTTTAGCACTTGCTATTTGAAAAAAAATAATCAGCGTAAGTACTGCTATCAACTTAAATAATAGATATATATTATAAAGTGACAGAAGTATTAATAAAAAGGGGAGAAAGACCTAAATTCTTAATGTGCGGGTGACTTAGTGCCTTTTTGTAGTGGAGGTAGGAAGAGTCTGTGGCCTGACATAACTAAAAGTACATTGGCACACAGACAAGGCCTTCCTGTCAGGATCATGATACTCTACTGTTACTAGTGTACTCCTACCATACTTCTACATGCAATTTGGCATTTTATTTCTATTCGCCCCTATTCATCATAAGTTTATAGGTAAGCCTCTCAGGTTATGTGGACCTTCACATAGCAACTCTTTTAGTATATATAGGTTAGAAAGTACATTATTACTAATAAACTACTATCAATTCAGGATAACTTAAATGGATATGCCTTTTATTAATCATATAGAAGCTATCTGTACTTAACAAATATTACTTAAACGTGGGAGATGTTTAGTTGTAATGCTTGGTTGATGTTGGAATTCATGGACCCAGTGTACTAATTTTGTAGTTCCTCGGCGTTCGGAGTTAGTACTCCAGAACAGGGATCAGCAAACTTTTTCTGTTAAGAGCCCAATAATATTTGAGGCTTTGTGGGCCACAGTGTCTCTATTGCAGCTACTTAATTCTGTTATAGCAGAAAAGCAGCTAGAAATGATACATAGAGGACTGTGTCTGATTCTTAAATATCATTCTTTTGATTTTTTTTTTTCAACGATTTAAAAATGTGAAACTTCTCAGCTCATGGCCTATATACAAAGAAGGAGGTGGCAGAAGTTGGCCTGTGAGTCATAGTTTGCCACCTCCTGGTCTCATAGACTGCATTTCAATTCCAGAGGTACAAGTTAATGGCTTCCTTCATTTGGTGATTTTGTACAACACAGATGCTATTCCCATATATTCAGAGAAAGCTGCCTGGGCTGCTAAAGAAATAGCAACAGTGTTACTGTAGTGCTTCTTAGCAGCTAACATGCTAATTACATATGAATTTTATAGTGTTACTTTGTTAAAATTTATATTAAAATACATATAACTATTTTGAGTTTCAAGTTATATTAGTGGAATGCTAGTAAAATTACCTATAACCAATTGAAAATTTATAAGTTAGTAAGGAATGTGATCAGAGGAAGTGATTATATGTGTCTTTTATACTAACCGGTATTCTTAATCGTTTCTTTTTATCAGTGGCTCTGAATTCAAAGTCAGTACATATGGAAATTCTGATTCAGACGGTCTAGGTTATATATATCCTTGACAGAGAACCATTGCTTTACATTCACATTCTGAAACGAATTTATGGCTATAGAGTAAGGGTTTTTGTCCTGGCACCCATGAACTTACTTACATGCCCCCAAAAGTATATGCAAAATTGTGTGTAAGTTCTGGACAGTAGTCTACACAGCTTTCATCAGATTCCTAAAGGACTATGTGACCCCTACTTTTATCCCACCTATTCTCCATCCCCTCCCACAAAAAAGTAAAAACAAAAAACTCAGAAGGTAATACAGTTGACTTTTGAACAATAAGGTTAGAGATACTGACCATGCCCCCCCATGCAGTTGAAAATTCACATGTAACTTTGACTTCTTGAAAACTTACCTACTACTAATAGCCTATTGCTAACCTGAGGCCTTACTGATAACATAGTCTATTCGCACACATTTTGTATGTATATGTATTATATAGTATACTCTTACAATAAAACAAGCCAGAGAAAAGAAATGTTATTAAGAAAATCAGAAGAAAGAGAATATATTTACAATATTTATTGGGAAAAATACACATATAAGTGGACCCACGCAGTTTAAACCTGTGTTATTCAAGGGTCAACTGTATTCTCATTGGTTAAATACACTAGAATTTAACTTGGTCTTTAAACTGGCAGCATTAACTCTCTTTGGCTTCTCTCTGCCTTGCTTCTCTAGAATAATCATCTATTTCTTTAACATTTTCTTAGGCAAAATGTTCTAGCAAACTCAGACATTTCTAGTTCTCTCCAAGGTTCTAAGGATATAGGCTACTGGGAAACATCCAGGATTTCTTTTGTGCTTTAATATTTTCAATTAAGAAGAAAAATAAAATAACTTTTTTGACTTCTTAAAATTTGTAGATTACGAGTTTGAAGAATATATTATAAAGACAAAAATCTAATGATGAGTTGGTACTAGTGAAAAATATATTTCTGATCAGTGAATTAGATCAAGTGATTATCATGTGTAATCTAAAATTACCCTTAATTCCACTTTTCCTTTATCTTAACTCTTTTAATAATGTCTGAATTTTTTCTTTTAGGAAACATTTTTTAAAATATTAAGTCTCCATGTGCAAAGTATAGAACTATTGTTATGAAACATCATTAGAAAATTCCATTTTTAATTTTATTGCATTCGTTTTCATTTAAGGGTCTACTGCTGAGCCAGTTTCTCAGTCTACCACTTCTGATTATCAGTGGGATGTTAGCCGTAATCAACCCTATATCGATGATGAATGGTCTGGGTTAAGTATGTCCTTTTAAAAATTATCAGTTTGGGGTTTTTTTTGTTTTGTTTTTTGTTTATTTTGTCAGAATTTTCTTTCTAGCACCCTGAATTCATGCTTTATGTTATAATTTTAATCCTTTCTCACCTTTTAAGTCTTAATAATATAATTTAATATCAAATATACTACTTGTAAACTGATTATTAAATACCTATAGAATTAAAATTAAATTTACTTTTCATTATTGAGGCAATATTTAAACATGAAATATTTTTATAGTTGCTCTAGTTTTTCTAATTTAAAAATTTTTTTGTTTCTCTTCCTACTTTTAGTATAATAAATAGAATGTACAGGAATGGCATTGAATTTGTGAGGTGTGCAGGTTTTCATATTGGTAGAAAACCATTTTTTAGCCTGATTTCCAGTTGAAGCATAAGAGGGCTAAAGGCAAGAGTCATAAAAAAAGAGAGAAAGGGAAAAATAATGGGATTTTTATGTTCAGAAAGCTCATACCATCCTTTTTTTTTTTTTAATGGACTTTCCCCCTAAAACTCCAAACCTCAGAATTTACTCCATTCTCAGAATTTTTATAGCACACTATTTTTTGCTGTTTATTTAGTACTTACATTTTGAGATTTTTCACCATTTTGATCTTTGTAAAGTTTTTTAAGAATATCTTCAAGTAGAGTTAAACCCCCCGAAGATAGGAACTCTCACTCTTTTATATCCTCAGTACCTAGTGCATCACTTTTTATGCAGGTGTTCAGTAGTAATATTGATATAAGTAAACACATGACTGTGTGCCAGGCACTGATCTAGGTCTTGTGCATATTGATCATTTAATTCTTTCTGTGAGGTAGCTATTTTTTTTCCTACACTTACCAGATTAAGAAACTGAGGCAAAGAAAAGTTACCTAACTTTTCCCAGGCCACACAGCTCGTTAAGTGGCAGAGGTGATGTCAAACTTTGGTTGTCTGGCTCCAGAGTTCACACTTTTAACCACTACATGGTACAGTCTTGGTGATGATTGTAATCATGAAGACAGGCTTGCAACACAACATATGAATGTCTGTACACTCATTAGTCTCTGTAGAGATTAGTCGCAGCACAGTTCTTACAGATTAAGGGAGATAAAGTTGGAAAGGTAATTTAGGGAGAGCCATAATGTGAAAAGCCTTGACTTGCTGGCTGAGGATTAGGGAGGTAGGGGTTAGAGTTACTAGTTTAGAAGGTAGATCCTAGTCTAGTCCTGACTTTAAAATGTAGTACCTCATATGGCTTGAACTTTGTCATTTATCTGGGGATCTAGATTAATTGAAGTGTAAAATGGAGCAAATAATTTGTCTTATCTATTTTCATAGATTATGAGGTTTTAATGAGGTAATGAATAAACATGAAAGTTATTTGTAAATTATAAAGTATCTTATATATCCAAGATATTGCAAGGATGTGAAAGCACTGTTTTTAGGAAAAAATAGTCTATCTGTACTTTGGGAAGAATGATCAGGTATTTACAGAATAGAATTAAGTGATTATGGGAACAGCAGGAGTGATTGTAAGAAAATAGCAGTGAGGAGTCTTGGGCAGCTCTGGATTGAGGCGGAGGAAGAGTGAGCAGACAGGGCTCTAGGCTTCTCAACTTGGGTAGAATAGCTCCACTTTTATCTAAGAATTCTTGTAATATGAAACGCATAATTGGCTACTAAAATAAAAGACTGAAAAAAAAACATCTGTCCACATGACTTTGTACTTAAAGTAATAAGTAACAGTAACACCGTCTTTTTCAAGCTTGTTATTCTGGATTGGCAGTCTTTTAAGTCAGAGTTTCTCTTTAACCTCATTTCCTCTGTGAATTTTATTTTTTGTCTTACATCTTTAATGTGGCTAATTTTGGTACTTGGTGAATTTACCTGTTCCTTCTAAATTTGTAAAATGCATGATTTAGTATTTGAGATTACTAATACACAGATACATACTAGCTTTACATTTAACAGTGTAATATAATTAATATATCGACCATCTGGTTTGAGGTATGGACATCATTATCTGACAAAAAAGCATCGATTCTACCTAGGCACTTGAATATAAGGCTAAGATGCTAAAGTACAGAAGATAACATTTTTAATTGCAGATGTTTATCTAATTATCTTGACCATAAAAGAACATCATCATAATACCTGTAAAAAGTCAGATTTTGAACAGAACTTTGTTTTTGTTGGCACTTCAGAGTGAATGAATTAGCTGCAGTATAGTGAAGGGGTTAAAGAGCATGAGTTTTGAGGACAGACTATCTGGGTTTGATTCTGAGCTTCTTTGCCTTTGTCCTTAGGAAGGTACATGGTCATTCTCTGCCTCAGTTTCAACATCTATAATAATAGTAGTTGCTCCCACACTGAGTTGTTGAGAGGATTAAATGATATAGTACATATAAAGCACTTAAAACACTACCTGATACATAGTAAATATTTAGTAAATGCTATGGTGCTATCGTTAATATTCTAGGGGCAAAATTAGCCTGATGGGGTTAATTAGTATTGTCTATATGAACACTGGATACTATCTTTCTAACATAATTGTTTCATTTTATTAAAGTTAATACTTAAGTTCTGACAAAAACAGCTGACAGTCATTTTCTTACTGAGATAAAATAGAGACTAGCTCTGAGATCCTGAAACCTAAAACATTATTTTACAAACAAATAGACAAATTTCTTTCTATTTTGAAGACAGCTAATATGGTTCTTTGAAAAGTCATTGGCAAACTAATGGGAGAATTTTGAAAGATGAGAAATTATTTATAAATGGAGGGAACTATGCTATGAATGAGATGATTACAGTTTCAAGGAAACTATGTCTAAGAAGTTTCATTAGCACATTAGGCCTATGAATCTTAAGAATTATGTGTCGAGAAGTCTCCTGGTGGCAGTTTTTAGGTTTAGGTGATTGATCTGTTGTTTTAAAGTAGTTTTGTTTGATCTCAGTTAATTATTTTTTAAGCCCGAAATAAACATGGAGCAATCACCAACAGAGCTTTGTTGGTGCTTTATAAAGCCAGTAGAGATTATGCTTCTGTTAATGTTCTTACAGAAGTTAATCTATAGGCTACAGTTATTCTCAAATTTCATGGTCATCTAAGCTTTTGAAAAAATAATTTTACTAAGTACTTCATTAGATTTTTATCCCCACCATATTTTTTAAGAAAATATTTTATGTGTTAGTACATCACCATATGTTAGTATATTGCCCATTCATTTGCCTGAACTTTTTTTTCTTAATAATTAAGAAAATAAAGTTTCTTTTCTGGCAAGAGATCTTAGAGACCTGGCTCATGGACAGCAATTTTCCAGATCTGGTTTTCTTATTTGTAAAGTTTAAGCAAAACCAATGACAGCTTTGATAAAGTTTCTTTTCTGGCAAGAGGTCTTAGAGACCTGGCTTTTGGACAGCAATTTTCCAAATCTGGTTTTCTTATTTGTAAGATTTAAGCAAAACCAATGACAGCTTTGGCATTCAAATCTCCTAACAGTATTGTTAATGAATGCTTTGTGTAAGATGGGCAATTGGTTCCGGACATCTACTGGATTCTTTTATACTTGTAAAATTGGTTTCTTCATTAAGACATGCCAAATGTATCTTATTGAGAGATTTGTCATGATTATGAAAAATAAATTCTTAATCGTATATGCCTGATAACTTAGAAACTGGCTTTCTATTGTTAGTGTCATCAGCCATATGTAAAACCAATAGCTGCCATTTATTGAACACTTACTGCATTGCTCTGAACTCCCTTACATGTATCTCATATAATCCTCTCAGCAATGCTTATGAAGTTGGTATATAGCCCATTAAGGTTAAGAAACTTAACCAAAATCACATAGTTATTAAGTGGTAGGGCAGTAGTCAGATGTAGATCCGTTTGACTGTAAGGTCCATGTTCTTAACTTCTATGTTAACACTATGTAATACTTACTCAGGATACTGAGTAAGTATTACATACTGAGTAAGTATTATGGCAATAAATTTAGATATCTAGGAATGGACATTTTTTTTGTAACACATTTCACACTCATAATCACTTGTTCCATGTTTTTCCTCCGCTACACTATAAATTCTTGCCTATATTTTTAGTCTGTCTTCATCCTCTACTGGGTTTGCCCCTCTTCTCCTTTTTCACACCCCCTACAACAGAATCTATCACTCTGTATATAGAATCTATCACTACTTACCTATCTCCATCCCTGAATAGATAGACTGTGAGCTCCATTTGGGGGAGGGCTTATGCCATCCTGATTTTTATATCTCTGGTACCTTCCTACCTCAGGTTCTCCTACAGAGTAAGTGCTTAATAAGATGAAATTCCTGTAAGTCCATTGTTAAGGTACATTTATTATTAATGTATTATTTTCTTGTATCTTTTCCTCTTATGAATTTGGGATCATATTGTACAGACAATTTTGTCTGCGATTTTTTTCTGAGCTTTTTCCCAGATCATTATATAGTCTTCTAAAACATAGATTTTAAAGCCTTCATGAGGATGTGTCATAATACTTCCCTTTTAAACAAAAGTAGTAGAGTTCACATGGAAAAATAAGGATAGCAAAGAAAATAAGAGTAATAAGGCAGATTTATTGTCCTAGATACTAAAATGTATTACAGAATTATGTATGGCACTATTCCAGGAATAGATCACTAGATTAGAATGGAAATTCCAGAAACATTAGAATGACTTGTTAACTACTTAGAAATAAAGGCTAACCTCTGTCGTCTTAAACCAGAGTAAATGAAATCTGGCTATAGGTCATCATTACAGGAGTATATATGGAAGTGTGTAGAATGTCCTAGAAGAGGAAAGAATTATTAACTTTTGAAAGCTACTTATTTAACCAAGGTAAAGCCAAAGAATGTTTTTCCCTTCCAGAATAAGCCAGCGATCACTCCCAAAGGAGGTAAAATTCAGTGCCTCCTAGAGTGATGAAAGGAATGTGGAAATCTAGAATAAAAAATTTATTTGTGAGAATAAGATGATAGAAGCCCTGGAAATAACTCATATATTTTGCAATGATAAAAGTAGCATTGAATAATCTGAAAAATGTAAGAAAGTACAAGTTAAGTATTAAAAGAGGAGGAAGAAAAGAAGAGGTTAAGTATTCTGTCATGACTTGGTGGATTTGAAGAAGAACCTAATTTTGAAAAGCTCATAGGAGGGGAGGAATTATAGTGAAAAATGACAGGCGGGGAGCCTAATTTGGCACTGCTGATAAAGATTGACAAATTCTATACCCTAAAAATAAATCAATTACAAGAAGTTGTAATGATCAGGGCAAAAAAATGACCAGGTCCTAGACCAAATTAGACATAAACAGTGAAAAGGAGCAAATTCAGGAGACTGATAACAAATAGAGTGGAATTAAATAGTTAATTCATAAGTTTTCTGGAGTTTCTTAGAAATTCTATTTAATTAGCTATATAACATGCCCAGCAGAAGTTAGGTAACGGTTTTTATCATCATGTTATTGGGGGCGTTTTGCTAGCTTTTAAAATGTGCTTGAGAGAAAGAAGAACAGTAGTTAAAATTACAACTTAGTTCAACATAAGAAATTTTAGTTCTTGCATTTTAGTTTTGGCAGAAATGGATAGATACCTAATTCACACTGTTAAATTTTAGATGGTCTGTCTTCTGCTGATCCCAGCTCTGATTGGAATGCTCCAGCAGAAGAATGGGGGAATTGGGTAGATGAAGAAAGAGCTTCACTTCTAAAGTCCCAGGAACCAATTCCTGATGATCAAAAAGTGAGTAAAGGGATTGGTGGGTATATTTATTTATCTGTGCACCCAACTATGTTAGAATTATTAGGGTTTGCAGTCTGTATTATAAGTATATCCAGCAATAGAATTCCTTCAGAGAGGCATTCTGATTATATTTATGTCAGTCTTCATATACCTTCTCTATATCACTTTTTCTTCTTTCCACAAATTGTTGAAAACTACGTGGAAAGCACTATTTAGACACTGATAAAAATAAACAGTTCCTGTCTGCTTATCAGAAATATTATAATAGCCTACCAACTCTTACTTTTAGAGAAGAGTGAATTGTTTCCCAATGAAAGATTAAGGAAGGCTTAATAGCAATAGACAAGCCGAGAACGTCATGAAAAAGGCACCAAGGCAGGAAAATAGGTAACATGTATTGTGGAGAGGTAATCAACTGATGGTAGGATCAGTTATTTACATGTCTGCCTGCCACCTTCTGGGCTGCATTCCTTAAAGAATGTGCTTGATATTCAGTAAATGAATAAACATACATTAGGGATGACCTTAACTTTTACCACATTTTATGGAATTCTATAAGTAATGAGAACCTGTTGACAGCTTTTAAACTAGGGATAACCTGATTATCACTAGGGTTAGGAAATTAGGCTGGATATAGCAGAAAGATAAGATGAGTTAGGAGGCTGTTTTGTACTATTTGGGGTAAGCATTAAAGAGATCTTTATAAGGATCATGGTAGGAGATAAAGAACTAAGTTGATAGCTTTGAAAAATAAATAGAAGTGGCATTTACAAGAGACATAAAGCTACTAGTCAGTCTTTGCTACTGGTTGGTTATTAGGAATAGGGTGAAAAGTCAAAAAGGTCTGAAAATAATAGGACCATTAGTATTCAACAGACTTTAATTGAGCATCTAGCATAGGTCAGGTATTGTGCTAGTGGAGAAACAAAAATAAGATACAGTTACTGCCTTCAAGGAGCCCATGGTTTAGGGAACAGAGGAAGGAGACGGGCACATCTATAGATAAAAGTAATATTAAAGTATGTGTTGGGTGTTATGTAAGCACTTCAGAGTTTTAACAAAGGCATCCTGGATTTAAAAGCCGAATGTGATGCCAAGAGTGGTCAGAAATGAGACTGGAGAGGGGGGCAGGGACCGGATTTTAGAAGTCCTTGAATGCTTGAAACTTTGGATTTTATCCCATAAGTAATGGAAGAATTTTAAGCTAAAGTGGAGTTTTTTGGCTACTGTGGCAGTCCACGTAGAAAAAGGAGCGGAGGCGTATGTGAAGGTAGGGAGACCTGTTTAGAGGTTGTTTCGTAGTCCAGGACAGTAGTAGTAAGAGTCATCCATGGAGTGGACAGGTTTGAAAAACAAGTTGAATTAAAATCAGCAGAGCATGTGATTAGAATTGAATGGAGAAAAAGTCATCAAAAATAACTTCCAGGACTGTAGGTTGGATAACTGGGAGGGAGTGGTACTCCCAACAGAGGGAATATAGAAACCAAAGCCAATTAATTGGAGGAAAAACAGTTCTATTAGATGCAGGATGTTTTGTATTTAGCCTAAGAGAAGTTGGTTGTACCAGATTAAAGCTTAGAGAAAAGATCTGTATTTGGAAGTTATCAGTATATGGTGGTTAAAACTTTGAGGGTAGGTGAATCTACTGTAGAGTTGAAAAGATCAGTAGAATGAGCATAGAAATCTGGGGAACTCTCAACTTTCAAGGAGAAATAAAAGCCCATGAAAGAGACTAGAGAAGGAGAGTTCTGGGTCACAGCAGCTGGGAGGTTTGCTCTCTGGTAATGTGCGGCAGTTTCATCAGAAATATTGAAATAGTTGCCTTATAGCAGTAAGTTGAGTAAATGAGGGTGTAATAATAACAAGTACAAGATTTTTTTAAGTACATTTGGATGGAAGTGGAGGAGTGGTGGTGGATGAGAGCTTCGGGAAGGGTTTCGTTAGAGGTTTTTCGTATTTTAACGATAGGAGAAATTTTAGTACAGGGATTGGCAAACTTTATTAAAGGGCCATACAGAACTCAAAAATAGCCATAGACAATACGGAAATAAACTTTATTGACAAAAACTGGCATTGGGCCAGATTCATAATGTGCCTACCCTTGCTTTAGGATATCTATAGGAGAAAAGGGAAAAGATCTAAAATAAAGTAAAAGTTAAACATAAATGAGAGAGATTTAACTAATAGAGAAGACCCTGGCAGTAGGGGCAGGGGAACCTTAGTCACAAGCGGATTGTCGGCCTTTAATTAAACATAGTTCCTCTCATCAGAGACCAGAGAAAGAGAAAGGTCCTAATGGGATTTACTACTAAGGGTATAAATAAATGTAGAGGGACAATTAGCAAGTAAAATGAAAGTCTGAGGGAGGAAAAAATAATGAATTTTAGATTAGACTTATGAAAGCTTCCTAGAATTGCCAGGAGCTAGGGGAAAAAGAGATGATGAATGGGCAGAGCACAGAGTGTTTTTAGGGCAGTGAAACTACTCTGTATGATACTGTAATGGTGGGTAAATGTCACTGTACATTTGTCCAGACCCATAGACTGTACAGGACCAAGAGTGAGCCTTAAGGTAAACTATGGACTCTGAGTGATAATGACATGTCAATATAGGTTCATCAGTTGTAACAAATGTACCACTCTGGGGGTTAATGTTAATAATGGAGTAGTCTGCATGTTTGTAGGCAGGGGATATATATAAATCTGTGTAAATTTCTGTACCTTCTGCTCAGTTTTGCTATGAACCTAAAACTGCTCTAAAAAATAAAGTCTACTTGAAAAAAAATAATAAGGTTCCTTGTATAGTACCTTAACACACAGTAATCATTCTGATATTTGTTGAATGTTTAGTGAACATACAGTTAAGTCTCTTTCTCTACCTGGGACTTCCCTGTGCCCAATCATCAGAACTTAACAGTAGAACCACTTAATGGAGTAGAGACTATCACATATTATAGCATTTCTTTTTCTGATTATATTCAGAAATCATCTTTTACATTTCTAAGTGAAAACGGGATGCCATCTAAATGCCCATTAGTTGGGGAAAGGATAAATAAAATGTGGTATGTTTGTACAATGGCGTGTTAGACAGATTTTTAAAATGAAGTAAATAAAGCTACATTAATATATCAGTATGACTAGAATCTCAAAAACATGCTGAATAACAAAGAACAAGTTACAGAAAGATGCAATATAATGCCATTTATGTAAATTTTATACTTGGGGAGATATAAGTTTATAGAAAAATCTATTAGACACAAAAGAAGTTCATGATAGTGGTTACCCCTAGGGAGGTAGTACAGGAATGGGCTTGAGAAGGGGTGTAAAGGAACTTTAAGTTTTTCAATAGTATCTTTTACTTTAAAAAATCCAAAATAGATTTGTCAAAATGTCAATTCTTTTATGAGTTAAAAGATGGTACAGCATATACTCGTGTTTAGGCATGGAAAATATTTTGAAAGAGTACTAAAATATTAATACTGTTTTTTCTGAAGAGTGGTAAGAAGTTCATGTGAAAGAATACTTCATATCCAATGTCATTCAAAAAAAAAAGGATGGTACAGAGTTGATTGCTGCCTTTTTCCTATGAACAAAAATAGTGTTTTGCAATTAGGAACTGCATTTCTCTTATGATCGGATTATAGCTTGTTAGCTAAGTTGTGCAGGGTTTTATTTTGTTTTGTTTTTCTTTTTGCTAATAAGTTTTGTAAACTTTTTGGTGGTTCACAAGACCTCCAAAATCATCCTAATGACTATGGTGCTGAGCAGAGAAGTAGCAGTTACCTAAATCGTTGCTTTCTGTAAGGATAGTCTAGGAATCTTGGCTGTCACCTGTGCAGAACAAACAAAAAGCACTTTTCCATAGAAAATTCATCCGTATGTTAAGTGTGACGAGATATCATCACTAATTTAACAGTCCTAATTCACTATTTTTGTCATGCAGGTTGTCATTTTCAATGACATTTCTTTTCAAATTCAGTTTTTTAATTAAACCTTTCTTTTGAGATGATTAGAAAGTCACATTCACTTGCAAGAAATAATACAGAGAGAGATCCTTGTGCCCTTTACCCAGTGTCCCCCAACAGCTTGAAAATTGTAATGAAGTATCACAACCAGGATATTAACATTGATGTACTCAGGATACAAAACATTTCTATCACTACAATAATCATGTTGCCCCTTTTTTATAGCCACCCTTCCCTCCTGTCCCCACCCACTTCCTAAACCCATAGCAACCAGTAATCTGTTCTCTATCTCTATAATTTCATCATTTAAAGAATGTTTTATGAATAGAATAACATAGGATGTAACCTTTGGTACCATTTTTTTTCTTTTCACATCCAGACTGTTGTATGTATCATTAGTTGGTTCTTTTTATTTCTGAGTAGTAGCCCATGGGCTGGAGATACCTCAGTTTACAGGCATACCTCATTTTATTGCGCTTCACTTTATTGTGCATCACAGATGTTTCTTTTTTTACAAATTGAAGGCAAGACCCTCCACCAGCAAAAAGATTACAACTCACTTTATTGTAATATTCAATTTCGGTGGTCTGGAACCGAACCTGCAGTATCCTCGAGGTATGCCTGTACTTAACCCTTCTCCTGTTGAAGGATATCTGGGTTGTTTCCAGTTTGGGGCTGTTACATGACTAAAACTGCTGTAGACAGTCATGTATATATTTTTGTGCGAACATAAATTTTCATTTCTCTGGGATAAATGCCTAGGAGTACAAATCCAGGGTTGTGTGATAGGTGCATATTCAATGTTTTAAGAAACTACTAAACTGTTTTCCAGAGTGGCTGTATCACTTTATATTCCCACTGGCAATGCATGAGTTATCTAATTTCTCTGAGTCCTCGCCAGCACTTGCTGTTGTTACTATTTTTTATTTTAGACATCCTGATAGGTGTATAGTGATAACTCATTGTGGTTTTAACATGCATTTCTCTAATGGCTAATAAGGCTAATAACATCTCTTCATGTGCTACTTTGCCATTTATTTATCCTCTTTTGTGAAATGTCCTTTCATACCTTTTGCACATTTTCTAAGTGGATTGTTTGTTTTCTTTCTGTTGAATTTCAAGTGTTCAGTTACAGTCCAGATAAAAGTCCTTTGTTGGATATATGGTTTGCAAATATTTTCTACCACTCCGTAGCTTGTCAGGGCCAAATTTAACAGGGTCATATTCAATTTTAATGCAAATAGTTCTGCATTTAAACTCTGATATAAAACAGAATTACCTATCCAATGAGTTTTTTAAAACCAGGATTTGCATAGCTCTCTAACTGATCTTGTAGTGAGTGATGAAAGATATAAGAAAAAGTGGTTGGTCATAGACAATAGGAGAATAAAGTTCCATGTACTTTATTTTGTAAGTATGTAACTTTAAATCAGTTTTATTACTTGTTACTAATTTTTAGTATTTAGCAGATAAAGACAACCTAATGAATGAAGTTATTTCATAATTTCTAAATAATGAAAACTTAACCAATTGGTTCACTTTAACATTTTTTCTTTTAACATCAGGTTTCAGATGATGATAAAGAAAAAGGAGAAGGAGCTCTTCCAACGGGGAAATCTAAAAAGAAAAAGAAGAAAAAGAAGAAGCAAGGTGAAGATAACTCTCCTGCACAGGTAAACTATTAAAACAACAAACATCATTCATTGATTAAGCACCTACTGCTTAAATGAGAAAAGAAAATATACAGATGCTAAGAATGTGTAGAGATAAAAGACACAATATGAGGCATCAAATTGAAAAGCATTTGAAAAGTGACAGAATGTTTTAAAGCTTTTATACATCATACTGTAATAAAAACTGTTGGTCTAAAAAAAATCATATCAAAGTTGTAATCCCAAAGGTAAATAAATAAAATTCTAAATTAGTCAGATGCTTTTGTTTTATGTTGTGAAATGGAAAAGGAGGTACAGTATTTTCACACGTAGAAAAATTCCCTTGAGTAACTAGAATTTAGCAAATTAGAATTTTAGCACAATTAGAAAACAGTGTGCATAATAAGAGGCGTCTTTCACTTGACTCTGTGTTTGTTGACTATTCCATTTAGTATCCTTTCCTGCCTTTTTGGCTTCTAACAGAAACTTTCTGTCACTCCTAAAATTTCCTTTTATTTTCTTTGATCTTCCCTAGCTGGGAAAAAATTTTTAGATTATAATATAGATGAAAACAAAGATTTTAATTTCAAACATACTAGATTACTAGAAATATATATGGATTTATTTTTGAAAGCCCTATATCACCATTATATAACAACTTATGAAAATCTCATTCTTTACTTAAAACTAATTGTTTTCATTCTTTTAAATGTAGGAGACAGCCAGAACTTCTAGAAGACAGCCTACAAATAATTTTCCTATTTATTCTTTTTTGAAAAAGTTTCTGCTTAAGAAAATATATGTTCAGTTCTTTTTTGTTGTTGGAAACAGAACTCTCCATAAATGATACCAATTCATTGTCAATATTAGTTTTTTTTTCTATAATAGTAATTAATTGGTGGACATTAAGGCTAATGTCACTAAGATCAATGGATATAAAAAAAACTAAAACTACATAATAGATGTGCTTGTCTTGTAGCCAAGCTGATGAGAAATTATTGACAGCTACCCTTTGTTAGTAATACTATCTAAACCCATTTAGCCAAACTTTTTATGGATTTTTGTGACATAAATTATGGCCTTTACTAGTACTGCTTTTCTGGCTTGTGGATTAGGTGAGTTCCTTTTAAAAGAAATGGTTTGGGAGAAATGCATTCTGTAAATTTTAACTTAATTGGAAAAGGTCATTAAATTGCAAAAGTTCCTTTGGTATTTTGATACTCCTTTTAAAAATGTTTGATCTGTTTTATAGTGAATAAGTATATAGTGAATATATACTTATTATATATATACTTAATATAGTGAATAAGTATATAGGCTTTAGAGTCAGATGTTTTTAAATTTCGGTTCTGCCATTTACTAGTTTTTATTTGCACAAGTTACTTAACTACATAGGTTACTTTCAGAATTAAATGAGATATCTAGGAGGTTCTGTGTGAAGTACATAGCACATAGTATGCTATCCATAAGTGATTACATTTTTTAACTTGTTCTTTTTTTCAGTAAAGTTTTTTTTACTTGTTGCGCTGTGGTTGGTGAGGTTGGTGAGGTTACTCTTAGAGTTCAACTTAGCATGGAACTGACTCGTATCTTAACAAAATTTTGGAAAAGAATGGCCATTTATATGTATGAGTTTGCTAAAGAATAATTCACAATGATGGTTCTATTTAACATATTCTAGTTCATACTTACTTCACATACCTAAGCATGTAATGCACTTCAGAATTATTTTGTTGAAATTTTTTAGAAGTCTGAAGTCCTAAATATGGAAATGTTAAAGCTTGGATAGGACCTTAGAAATTATCTAGGCAAATTTATTTTATAGTTGAAGAAACTAAGGTTCAGGGCGACTAACTGGTTTGTCTTTGAGATTATACAAATGGACTGTGTCATGGCCAAAACTGAAATTCCTGTCAATTTCTAAAGTCTAAGCTCAAGTATCAACTAATTTTCTTTGTACTTTCTTTTAAAGAAAAACACTAGTTTATTTCGTTTGAGTTGCTTTAGCAAATTAGAGTGGTTCCCATATTGAGATGTGAATGTATTATTTTTTAATTCAAAATTAATTTAAATCCCTGCAGAAAGCAGGGGTGATGTATGTTCCAAATGTACTTATGTATTATAAATCTTCGAATAATTATTTTTATATGCTCTTTTAAACAGTTTGAACAGTTTTCTGAAATAAAAAAGTTTTGGAATATCTTCTGGATATTAGTACAACAAACCAAATAGATTTTAATTAGTAAAAATGGAGTGATTTATATCATCTAATAGACTACTTTTCTCTATAGGACCTAGAAGAATTAGAAAAAGAAATTAGAGAAGAGCTTCCAGTGAATACCTCTAAAGTCCGTCCAAAACAGGAAAAAGCTTTTTCTTTGAAAACCATAAGCACTAGTGATCCAGCTGAAGCACTCGTCAAAAATAGCCAGGTGAGATTTTGATATTTAAGGGGTAAAATTTTAATGACTCGAGAATTAATATTTTACTGAAGTACTGTGCTAAGCATTTAAAATACTCAAAATAATTTAGTCCTCAAAAGAAAAGTAAGGACCCATTATATAAATGAAGTTAGAGAAGTTGAATAAACTTGTCCAAAGCCCCATAACAGTGGCAAAACCAGAGTTGTTAGGCTATATTTTCTTTTATTAAATATCTAGGCATACAGGGGGCTGATAGATGGCTTAGAGAAAATGCGACTGGCTGCATTTTCCCCAGAGCATGCACTTAAATGACTAGGGTCCATCCTCTCAGAATGTAGCATTTGTTTAAATTTGAAATATATATCTTCTGTGGAAATTTTTGATGTGTCAGAAGGCACCATTTTTAAAAACGTCTAGGCCAGTGACACAAAACTCTCATTTCTATTTAGGTGAATTATATCATATTAAAATATATTAAATTCTACTAGAGTTGCATGGTTCATTTATTTACTCATTCAAAAGAATTTATTGGGAACCTACTACACACACTATTTTAGATTCAAGGGATATATCAGAGAATAAAGCAGACCAAAAAATCTCTGCCTTTACAGAGCATACACATTTAATGAGACAACTTTAGACAAGAACCTAAATTACCACTAAGAAAAAATTTGTAACAATCTTATACTAAAAAAAAAAAAAATTTAACCATTCTTCCTATTTGGATTTTATGCTTTTATTTCTCTTAGAGCGTTCGATGCAATCTCAATATATCCATAGGTTTAATAGTAGGACTACAAAGAGTCATTTGACATTTCGATGTTTTACTGAAGTTATTTTCAGAAACCATCTTGTAAAGAATATTTGAGTCCTTTTGCAATTTAACATAGATAAGTGAAAGAACAGAGAGGGAAAGGAGATTAAAAATAAGTAATAAACTTTTGGGTATAAAATAAATACAGGAAACATTAAGAAAGCTGAACTGAACAATAAAAATGCTGCTTCAGATACCTGAAGAAGGAATCTAGCAGTTATCTGGGCACACAGTTTCCTCCTCTTGTTTCTTTTCCCATTGTGTTTTCTTGAACCCATAGAGCCTGGAAGAATAAGGAGCAAGAGAAACATTACTTACCCTTGTTTCTATATTCAAAATAATCACAGGTAAAACTAAAGGGTAAGATGATCTACTCATCTATTAAAGCCTCGAGGCACTCCAGGTATTGGAAATTGATTCTATTATTACCTGGTTCTGGCTGTTCCTTAACACTTAGACCTCAGCAAGGCAAATCAGTTCATTTACCTCCTTTCTGTCCCCGGGTTAGAGGGGACAGGCAAGGCTCACAAGTCTAGCCGCTAAGCCTTATGATTTCACCACCAGGCTGGATAAAACTTTAAGATTTGGACCTGACTTTAATAGATGGTTTTATCAGCAGAACTAGTAACCATAGTCAGCTTTTGTCTGAGGCCATCTTTTTCCTGAGTCAGAAACTGAAGCTGTTGCTGCAGCTTTTTGAGATACCCCTACCTGTAGAGGAAAAAGCGGGGTATATCACCTACTGATAGCTCTGAAATTAGCTATTTTCTTTTTGTCTTTCAAATCAAAAAGTTTTAAAGAATTGAGAGTTGGTGGGAAGTGGACAGAACCATGGAATTGCTAACAAATATAAAATCATGGAATTTATAATGAAAAAGAGAAATATAAATGTTAATAAAAATGGAATTATTTAGTGCTACTTGAGATTCAGTCAACATCTTGTAATTTTGAACCTTCGTCCATTTTCATCTTGTGTATTTGTGGATATTGTAGGTAAAGATCTATTTGGTTATGTCACTAGAGGGCAGGCATGAGATGTCCTTCTGGAAACCATATTAGTATTTACTTGCTGCTAAATAGCCTTTTGGTGTATTTAATTTTATTTGAAATTTTTTACAAAAATAAAAATTAGTTTTATTCCAAAATAGCCTATCAAGACTCTTCCACCTGCTATTTCTACCGAGCCATCTGTTATTTTGTCAAAAAGTGATTCCGACAAGAGCTCTTCCCAAGTGCCACCGATGCTACAAGAGTCAGACAAATCCAAGTCAAGTACTAAGCAAAACAGTGTGCCTCCTTCACAGAGTAAGTGATTTAATTTCTGGTTCTTTTGTGTGTTCTCTGTACTGTTTGTAAGTATTAATGTCTAAGAAGTCTAATGGATTGACAGAGCAGCCTGTCTGTCTTTGGCAAAGGCTCGATTCCTTGGAACCTTGTGGACCTCCGTTGTGAGGGCCAAGCAGCTGAAATCACGCCATGTGAGACTAGGTGGCCAAGGACATACACAGAGGAGTACTTGGTGCTTGCCTGTGTCCTCCTCAATCCTGTGGTTCAACCAAATACTATATGGGGATTGAAAGAAAAAGGAAGGCAGACATAGATACTACTTTTACATTTTTGAGACATAACAGTATTTACTATCCTCCTAAACTTTTTCTTTTTTCTTTTCCTTTTTAGCCAAGTCTGAAACTAGCTGGGAATCTCCCAAACAAATAAAAAAGAAGAAAAAAGCCAGACGGGAAACGTGAATTTTCTTTTCCTGAATTGGACATGTGTTTGCAAACACTGTCTAGAAGATTATGCTGTTTATGCAATAATTTGTGAACATGTACAGAGTTTTATATAAATTTAAAACAGTTTTTAAAACAAAACTGTGAACACAACCACCATAAAAATGGAATCAAAGGAAAGTTAATTTATGAAATTAAGAGGTCAGCAGAATATACTACAGTGCTGGAAGACACTTGGGGAAAGTCTTTTCAATTTGATGAGAACGATCTTAACTTAAGAATATTATCCTGGTTTTACAGCAGTGCCCTGTTTACAACAGATTGTGCCCTATCTCATCTGCAGCTGAGGAATAAAGGATTCTGATTAGAGTGTTGCCTACAAATTAGGCAGCTTCTTGGATCTTATGCATGGAACTTATACCATTTGAATCTGTTTTATGCTTAAAGTGCTTTGATCAAATGCATAATATGCCATATCTTTACATATTTGTTGGTAGCAATTTGTATTAAAGGAATCACAAGTGCAAATAAAAAGTCATTTATTGTTTGTTTAACTAAACTGTCATGGTTTAGTTTACAATTTTTAAAAAGTTTCTAATTAAAACATTGAAAATGCAGTTGACTTACATGGCTTATGAAGTTATTTTTGATAGTCTTACATTACTTGAATTGTTCAAAGTACAGTATATTTTAAATTAAGAAAGGTAAACTGTATGTATTCGTTTTATACTTTTAAGGGTCAGATTCACAAATAATGTTCTTGTTTATAATTTGAAAACTTTCAAGCAAAATGCAACTTATCTTTTTTCTTTCCGTAGCAATCTTCATTACTAATACTTTTTTGACTTTAAAAAAGAAATCCTTCACAAACTAATTATACAGACAGAACTTTGAGTATATGATGGAGAATGAAAAACTAGAGTCAGACAGCTTTAATTGACATTGTCAAGACCTCCAGTTATCAGGAATACATTTTTTTACTGCCTTAACCTGTAGTGCGTAGTATATGCATCAATTTCTTGAAGGGGATTCGTGTTTTTATAAGAAATTTCATGTAATTATTGCAATCATGGTCAAATAAGAAACGTTTCCTGCTTGAAACTGTATTGATTTAAATGATGTGTGAGACGTTTTACCATTTTCAGGCACTGTGTAACTCTATTGTAATAAAATGGCAGGTATCTTTGTAACTATAAATAGTGCATGCTCAGCCATGTACACTGTAAATAGCCTTTACCAAACGTGTTTGACAAGGACCATAATTAACATCACTTAGTGAATTGTGATAAAGAAAAAAAAGCCATGATTTATTTGATGTGATTGGCTTAATTGTTTTTATGTGGCTCCAAGAATGAAACTGTTTAGCTGTAACCAATGGTACTGATCTATCCATCCAACGTTGTCTTTATTATATTTGATTGTGGTTTGATAGTATTGCATTGTCAGACTAGGAAAGCTAAAGAAACAAAATGGTTTTAGTTTTGCTGAAAACTGGCCTTATTAATGGATAGCTTTCCTAACAAGCGATTATTAACTTATCAGGTGTTAACATCTGTTTCAGGAACATAGCAGTATGTTTACATGTTAGAAGTTTTGTTTAATTCTATGATATTTCTAAATTGATTTGTTTAAATAAATTCAGCAAATTGATAGCATTGTTTTTATTTGCTTCAGTAGTGGGGTAAATATGCTAAAGTGCCAAGAATGGATTTCTTCAAATGACTTTATTCTGTTAGCTTTACATAGACATTTCCTAAATAGATCCAAGGATTCCTAAGTTGCCAGCACTTTGTAAAGGTATGACAAAGAAGAATTCAGTAGGGGTCTATTATTTTAGGCTGTGCCAAAATACCTGTGCTCAAAAAATTTAATTGAACTCTCTCAACTCTACCTCACCCTTTCTTTATCTTTGAATTTTGTTGGCTGTGTCAAGTGTTGGACTTCATTTCTCCAGCTTAGTATCTCCCATCCATCCTTCTATACCAGGTATTAGAGACACTGTCTTCTAAAGAGAGATAAAGTGTGGAGATGGAGAAATGCATTGCTTAATTGGGGTGGATCCGGTATGGAGATACTTCTGTTCTTTCTCTCTGGCTCAAGAACTAGGACATGGATTTTATATTTTACGAAATGACATCTCTGAGTGATAAAATTAATAAGTTTATTCTCTTTTACATGCATGAGGTGCAAACTCTTGCACTATTAAAGTATTATTGCTCATTGCTCTTTACCTGTCCCAGAGGTCGGTCTTTATGTGACATGAAAGCAGTTTCTAGAATCTGAACACAAGAACTATCCCTCATCATCAACTCAGAAGGCAGTAAAATCATGGTAGTCATTCAGGGAGGAGGGGAGAGAGGAGCCTTTTGTCCTCTGGAGGCTTGGTTTAGATGTTCCCCAAACTGTTGACTAGGAAGAAAACTGATCCCATTAGTCTCCGTCAGGCCTGGAGGGGACCCTTGTTCTGGTTAGCACATAAGGCTCCTAGAGAAACTACTTAAAAACCTTACTAGTCCTTCCTGTCTCCACGTATTTACTAAAAATCCTTCCCTATTCTGGAGCAGGGATAGCGATTTAGGGTTCCCCCAGAAAGGTACCCTACCTATCTGTTCCCTAAACTAAGCAAAATAGCAGTTGAGAGAGTCCAAAAAAAGTATCGAAATAAAATGCCATTAATGTAATTCACCATGTTTACTCCGTGCATGCATTTTGTTGGGGCAGGGGGACGGCATAAATAATTCCTCTGAATCTAATGGTATTATTCGATAGGCTAATCCAGTTTGTATTTGGGTTAAAGATATTGAAGGGCAATATTTAACTACAGAGTCTAGTTTTTCTTAAAAATAGCCCTCAATATAGTATGGAATATCTTTCAAAATTTAGAATTTAGGTTTAAGATTTCTGAGAGATGTCTTAAGTCTTTCCTGTAAACGCATTGCACAAACTGGAATTACTTTCCAAAAGACTTAGGGAATGCAAATATGTTATTTGTAAAATGCATTGAGTATTGTAAATAAAACCATTTTTGTTTTGTTTAAATTGCTCGTTATAGTTCTCTTATGGGAAGGGACTTCTCAATTTGCATCCTAAGCTAAAGTCAGTTACTTTTTGATCTTGATATTTCTTTCTAAAACAAAGATGCACTTGCAGCTTTACCAGTGAAAAGTCAAATAATTGGAATTAAGCATCTCTTAGAATGTCCCCGTTTGTGACACTTCAGTGTTCTCTGTGGGAAACAGCTCCCATCTTACATCATGTTAGCTGTAGATGCAACTGCCACCTGGTACGTTGTATCAATTGTATCAATCTTTTAGGTTAAAACTAGACTCAAATTTGGCATTATGTATTTGTTTGGCTGTGACCCCAAACAATAGCAACTTAAACAAGATAGAAGTTTATTTCTCTCATGTGTGAATGAAAGTCTGGGAAGGCAGTCCAGGGCTACTGTGACACTGCAGGATTAGGGGGTCCAGGTTCCTTCTGTGCTGCTGCTCCCTGTTCTCAACAGATTGCTTTCGTATCATGGTTGCAGAACCTGCACCAGCTAGAAATGTCCTACGAGCATTTCTGCCCCCTCCCTTTAAGAACACTTCTTTCAAGTTAATACACATCGCATAGACTTATCAACCCGAACGTAATCACTTGATCCCTAGCTGCAAAGAGGAATTGGAAATAATCTTTATTCTGGGCTGTCATGGGTCAAATTAACATTTCGGGATTCATTACTGAGGAAGCAGCAGGGAATTGGACACTGGGCACAGCTAGTTGTCTCTGTCACCGGGTTGACATACCCTGTTGTGTATCCTGCACCAAGCATCATTTTTAAGGTCAGTTTTAGATTTTCCTGCTAAGCAGAGATTTTGAAATCTTGGATGCTGCTCAGAGTAGCAGCTAATAATGTTCCAATTTCTGTGTAATAGGTTCTGGAAGAAATTTCTGCCATTCAATGACTGCTTTAAATTCCAGGGACAGGCTGAAAGAAACAGCCTGCTATCACACCTGTTCTGCAAGTATAGATTATAACAAATTTCAACAGATGAATTACCCTGTCATATAAAGAAAGTATTCTTTGAAAAAAAATAAGGCATTACTACTATTTTTTCTAAATAATTTAACAGAATGATTTCTAACTGTAGCGTTAAGACAGATGTATGTTGTGCATTGTAAAATGTTGGCTAATAACAGTTACAGTACTGACTTTTATGAATAGGCTAATTTGATGAAAAATTTAAGTAGGTTCAAGGTCATTCCCATGATAATGGCATTCTTATTTGTATATATGTGCTTTCCTTTTTTTATTGTATCAAAGCATTCAAAATGAATATGTGTAAGATGTACATAAATTATAAAGTGTAATAAAATGAACACCTCTGAAACCACCATTCTGCTTAAGAAATAGAACATTACCAGTTAAGGAATTTTGGTGGAGAGCTTGACTGTTTGTCTTTGGGTAACCGGGTCATAGGGGCAAAGGCATGGATGAAAATAGCTGTTCTCAAATGACCCAACGTGGCATGGGTCTTTTTTGGTGCAAAAACTGGCTAAGGGTCTCAGGTGGCATCCAGCCTCATCTCAGAACGGTGTCAGGGCAGCCTCACTGGTGCTCCTTCCTCAAGTCATTATACTGATGGACTGGCAAATTGTAATATATAGAGAGACAATGACTGGATGTGCATGGTGCCCCGAGTTGTGTAGTGCACAAGACATTGCAGCCTTTCCCTGAGGAAGGATAGAGCTGGGCTCCAGACATGAGCTTCCTCCCAGGGAGTCCGGCGAGCAGCAAGTGCCCCAGTTCAGGGGAGGGTTGTTTCTGAAGTTTGTCGAGAGACTGCAGACATTCGACAAGCACCACAAGAAAGTTTATGGCAAAACAGCAAGAGCTGTTAGTAACTTATGATCAGGGAATTATGAATAATTTCTTTCTCTTCTAAACTAAAAATACCATGGGATTACCTGGAAAAGTTATAACTATTCCCATTTCTCTTCAAAATTGAAAAGACCACAATAATGAAAGATGGAAGAAAACTGCCGTAGCACTGGAACTAGAAAAGGAGGTATTTCTGTTATCAGCAAGTCAAATCAGTAATTTATCAAAAGAATAAAACTGATCAAAGATGCGAGTGTGGGCCGGTTCCAGGAAATCTATTAACATCATTTTATCACAAGTTTAAAGCAGAAAAAGTATATATGATCATGACACTGCTGAAGAAGTATTTCACCAAATCCAATAATCATTTCAAATTTAGATTTAAAAAAAATTATAAATAGATGAAATACTAAAGTCATCTTGATTAAAATCAGAGCAAGGCAGGCAGGGTTTCCTGCTAGCCAATATTGTCTTAGAGATGTGTTGGGAGATTTTCCCAGGGCCAAGAAACTAAAGAGGCTGACAACTCCATCATTACATCAGGAGTTTATAAAGGGAACTTAACATTCGAGATGCGTGGCAGGTGCTAAAGGAATATAGAACTGGCAGGATGGATGGGGTACAGGAGCAAGACCCGCTCCAGATAAGGGGAAATGCCTTACATGCTTGCTGGGGCGGAGCAAGGGCCTGGTCCAGAAACCAGCACACCTGGGGCATGGGAGAGGGGTCGGTCAGCCAGTCTCCAAGGGGATTTATGGGAAGAGGTGTCTGTCCGGCCGGGACTATCTACAGGGTCCAGCAGCGGCCCCTCATGGAACAGCCTCTCCTCCACAAGAGGTTACTAACAACTAAAACTGTCATATCTAGAAATACATTTTTCAAGGGAGACATAGACCAAATGAAAACTGCAGTCTTATTGAAAGACAGAAAGCAATCTGACAAAGGAAAAGCTGTATCATTATTTAGAAAACAAAAATACCAGTCTTTCCAAAATTAACATGTACATTTAGTTCAGTTTCAATTAGAACACAACAGATTTTTTAAAGTACCTCAAAGATTATGAAAACGAATTATTCGAAAAAAGATCAAGTAAGAAAAAGTAGTGGGCAGCAGCAGGAAAGGGGCAGAGACTTAGCTTCATGAACACCAGGTATCGGAAAAAAATATGAAATGGCTTGTATCTGCCAGGGTTCTTAGTTATAAAACCCAGAATTCCCTTTGGCTAGTTCAAGCTGAAAAGGAATCGAGGCACCAGAGATCCAGGCCCTTACCCCACCAGGAATAGCCACATTCGGAAGCCGCTCTAGCAAAAACCACCAGCTCCTGTGAGAACTGAATGCCTGCACACCAGCGCTGCTGCCTCAGCACGGCTGTGAGCCACCCCGCCATGGTCCACAGCTGCTTCTGCTCTGGCCGCCTCTTTCCTTCACTTCTTTCTTAGTGTTCGGCAGAGGCAAGTGTGATCATGGCTGTCAGTAGCAAAGGATGCTGGAGTTTGAACTTTGGCTATGTGGGAAACTTCAAACATAAAAAATATTCAAAATTCATTTATTGAGCTGCCAAAACCTGATCAATGTCCACTACAACAATGTCGTGACCACACATGAATTCATTTCTTTAGCATTTTGCTTTAATCCCAGCTCACTTTGCTTAGCCTGATAGAACTATGACTCACTTTTATTTTCTCCACCAGGTCCTCCTACCTGTACATACACTGCATGTCCACTCCTTCAATCATTAAGCCCTTAGGACATGAGGGTCTGGTCAGCACCAAACTCACTTA